GCTCATGCCAACCATGAAACTCAAGTTGGGCGGCGCTCAACTCACACTAACTATATAGTTATCACTGTGCCTTTTTGGATTGAGCTCTTCTTGAGCGCGTTGGATCTCTTCCATCTTGGAATCGAACTGAAACAGTGCATGGAGTCTAAGACTGCACAATGCACTTGCCATACATCTAGTCTGAGCAACTTGGTGAAAATACATTAAGGGCACACATGTTGCCACCTTGGCTACTAAAACAATGCGTCCCACGCCTTACTCGCAAAGAGCTTCTCCTTCATCTCATCCACTGGTAGACTTCTCAGGGTAAAGGCCAATGCAGCGCTGACCCCAGAGACCAATGCAGATGCTGTGCTGGGTGTGAGCTTCATCCCCAAGACGCGCACATCTGCTCCAGAATTGATTCGGAGATGCTGTACCAGGAGGTTGGCAAAGGATAAAGACTCTTGGATCTGTTCACGTTCTTCGGCACTCGACGAAAGACCTGGATGAGACAAAGCAAACTGGGCCTGCAGGCTATGCTGTGACATCAGGTCTAAGGACTTGGCGTTCTCCATGTTCACCAAAATGCCGATCACGAACAAGGGTACTCCGAAAATGATGTAGAGTGTCATGGATAGAACTGATACGAAGCTGAACAAACCTGGCTCCCACTGCTCCTGCAAGGAAGAGTAAATGCTTCCCAGTGCCATCCCGAGTGTGGACATGCTAGCGACCACAACGGACACATCCATTTCGAGCTGCTCTGCAGCATAACGTGCTAAGCAAAGCTCCCGCACCTCCCCCCAAACCAGCAAATCTGAGGGAACGTGGATCCTTATTGCTGGTACAAACATGTTTTGGGCAGCAATGGGACCAGCGAGTGTGGCATTCAGCACCTTAAGATCAGTTAACCTCGCAAGCCACGCCTGCGCACAAATCGCAAGCTGGAACATGGTGAAAACAGCACCGTCGAGAATGCCATATCCAACAAACAAAGTCAACATCACTTGGTGGTACCAAACGCCATGGTGCCATTCCGGCATCCACCACACAAGAATGCACGACCCGATTAGCACAAGTGTAGCTGCACCTGCAGCTGAACCCCACATGACTGACACCCAAGCAGGCGTCTGTGTTGCAAAGCCGATGGACATCTGGCTGGCAAAGTCAGCCGCATTCACATCACCGTCTTGCAAGCTCCTCTGGTAAGCAGGAAGCAAGGCCTGCGGAATGCTTGCTTCATCGGCTGGGCGGGCAAGGAGAGAAAAGTGCATCAAACCATTCATACGTTCTTGCTGTTCCAGAAAGCGATCCGAAGGTGGCCAGCGCTTCACCCACCGGGAACTCGCGACCAAATCGCCGCTTGAGGACCGCACTGTGATCTCGCAGATCGGGTCATGATGGAGCGCAATCAGTGTTTTTTCTGAAACGGTCCTCGATGGACGACATGGAAAAAATCCCTCCCTGACAGTAAAGTCTTCTGACTCTGAAAACACTGTCTCAAGGGCAAGCCTGAAACAGTCCTCGGTCCCATCCAAATTGTGGCAGCAAAGTGCGTCATGCGGGACGCCAAGTTGCCGTTCAACAATCATGATCAATTGCAGGAATTGGCGAAGCTTGACACGCTGCGGATTGTCAGAGGCAGATGCTGCCCGTGCCACTTTCACTGGAACTGTAGAAAAGGATAGCACCCATGGAAGAAGCACTGCACAAAGCGGCCCTGTGCTGCGATACCAGGTGGATATCATATAGTAAGCAAGGTTTAAGGCCAGGATGAAGGGTGTTGCCACTCCCTCAGAAGCACCATAAAAATCAAACATCCTCCAAGCCTGCTCCCACAACGTCATTTGCTCACTTGCCCAAATCGGCTTCAGCCATCCTAACTTCAGCATCAGGAGAACTGCGAAGCCTGAGAAGGGGAAGAACAGCCTCAACATCAAGCAAATGAATACATTTGAGAGTTGCAAAGTGGGAGCCTCGTGACTATGAAAATCCTCAAGGCTCAAGCGGCTCAAGCCGCTCCACCCAAGCTTCTCCGGCTCCTCCCAACCCCTCTCAGAAGTCTCAGTCAACCTGACAAGTGTATATTCAGCCGGATCTGTCAGAACGGACGTGGAAGCCACAACTTCATGCAGCGTGGAAGCCATAGCTTCATGCAGCAAATTGCGCGGGACCCTTGCTGGCCCCCTCCTCGGCCCGTTGCACAATGTGGCTGGGCTGCCAACTGCAAGCAAAAAAGATCAAAAAAGGAAACGTGGAAAAAACGTTGCGCCCATGTTAACGTTCATACAACAAGCGAAGCGTGAGTCGATTGAAGTCCACACAGCCAATGCAAGGCGAACGTGCTCGACAAACACAGTTTTCTTCGGAAGATCAATCACGCATCACCAGAAATCCCAAGTCAAATGCAGTGAGGCATGGCTGCATGGCGCACCTTGTCCTGCTGAATGCCGTGTTGTGATCTCATCACCTCAGACGAGTAGTGACTCTGGACATGCCACACCCCCGAGTCATGAAGAAAACACAAAGGATGCAGCATGCATATCAATTATCATCAAAGGTCTTACAGCCCGACCCTAGGTGACTATATATTGAAACCAAGCAATCGCCATCTTGGAGAACTATGCCTTCTATTGCCTTCTATCATTGTGTCAAACTGTCAATTCAGCAACCGACATCACCAGGTCTATTGCATCCGCCTCTGCCCTTCCGGCAGCAAAAACACCAGCGCCAAACTCCCCAGTTGCACCAAAAAAGACAATCTTCCAAGGACATGACTTTCACACAATGATTTCGATTATATATTTCCATTTATTTTCTAGTTGTCCTGGTTTGCTTCGTGGGACTCATCGACTCATCGGTTTGGCTTTCTCGAGGTCAACAGTTAAACTGGCTTAAACGCGCCTTTTAAGCTCCTACAGATCACGGCCTCACAGCACGCGGAGAACACGACAGAACCCACTTCATTCTTCACTCTCAACCGACTCAACCTAGTCGGCGTTTCACTTCCATAATGTTTGGTCCCTTTCTACGGCTCGGTTTTGTCATTCCATTGTCTCCTTTTCGGTTTGCCTTTGGCCTAGTAGACGCCGACACACATCTGCATGCCCGTGGAGGTCAATCATTATGTGTAGGCCACTAGAAAGTCATCAAGTCTGACCCAATCTCTCTATATATCTCTATATGTTGGGTCTATCCGATTACCTGTAACAGTGGATGATGATGCTTAGTAGAGGCCTTGTCCAAAAATAGTGATAATTGTTTACTGACTGTTACAGGTAATAGGACAGACCCAATCTATATGCTTGCGACAATCCAACGTTTGAAGAATTATGTGACACTCCATCTCCCCAACAGCCAGTTCATTCACTCAAAAGATGTTCTGATCTCCCAGACAGTCCGAAAGGTGATAGATGCCCCGGAAACACATGAAACTAACATGTCCAGGATGAATGACTCACGCCCCAATTCCAACCTTCAGAAAACTCGTTCGGTCATGCCATCACCAGCTGCAGGGATTCTCAGAAGAGCTGCGCGGGCTACGTAGCGCAAGACCATAGCGCGAGAAAATAGTGCAAAAGGGTTTTCGTTCCAGAATGCACAGCAAAGTCAGTTCTGCAAGCCTGCTGGGCTTCACTTGTGAATTCGGCTCTGGATCAAAGCACATCGAGTCCGAGAAACATGAGCCAAACCACAAAAACTGATGACTTCCAACACTCCACGCACTCTTGGCCAAAAATGACTCGAATGGAACAAGGTGAAGCTGCCCATTTTTAACAGTTTTGGTTTCCTAGGCCAGGATTTTGATACATTCTATTCCACGATCCGCAGATTCTGGAATCCCTCACTTTTGCGATCCCTGTGGCATCCCAGTCCTCCAGTTCCTGCAGCCTTTTTTGTCATTTCACCATTCCCCATCCTCCGTCCTCATGGAGGGGTTTTCCCCACCGGTGGCCATCCCACGCCGCGCCCTCTCCCCCGGGCTCATCCTGCATCGGCCGGCCACCGAATTAGTCTCCCTGACCAGTGGACCGCGCTGGACTCACTGGGTCGCATCGAGCTCAGATGGGTTGGGCACCTGGACCGGATCCGTCGTTCGACTCGGGACCGTGACAGGGATCAAGGATTCCCTGGCTGAGGCCAGCAGAGGCCAGAAGTGCAGTCCAGGCAGCAGGGATTTTCCGGCTCAGGTCGATTCAGGCCGTTTGGCCACTGCCACATGACTGTATGTAAACCAAACGAACAAAAAGCAAACGTGCGATCAAGCACGGAACCTTCTCGTCTAAACCCTGGTCCACAAACCTGCGCACTCAACTCCCTCATTCCCGAAAGGAAATGACCCAACGGTTCAGGTGAGGTGGGTTACGTCCCGTTTGATGCTCAGAAATAATCTCACTTCCATTGTCAAATTATGTCAAATTCAAGGCTCTCTCAGGCACACTGGTCATCAATCATCAATTTGTTTCTGCATCAGCAGGAGTCAACGCAACTATTTTCAGCTACTAAAAGGGTCTGCGGGTGCACGGCCATCTATGTGTCTTCATGCTATCTCAATCTGTACTTTCCATCTAGCAACCTAGCAAAAAGTGAGTGCTTCTACATGTTCTCACGCTGCACTCCCCCTTGAGGCTTTGCCTCAACATTTCAAGACCTTTAACACGAGCCAAGCTCAAGACCCTATCATTCAGACGTCAAGGAAGGGATCATAGCTGCCACAAACCTCATAGCTTCCATCACTTCCACAATCCGACCCCATGCGAATTTCTCTTGGGCCAACTCGAAGTTCATCCCATTCCGGCTGAGTCATCTCAGCGGCGTCTCATTCGCTTCAGCCAACGCCTGCAATGCATTCCTTGCCATTTGTCCTGGCCCTCCAGGAATGCCTGCAGTAAAGTCTTTGCTCCTTTGGCGTAGCCTTTCCCACTCAGACTTCCATCCTGTGCCAGTGTCGAATCCGGCGTGGAGAAGTCTGTTGTCATTGTTGGCAAAGTTGATGAAAATGTTCCACTGCCCACGTCTTCACCAGCAGCAGGAACAGCCACATAGCACGGCGTACCATTTTCCGTGGCGCTGAGGATCAGCGAGAGATCAAGGCGAGGCATTTCTCGAGGTGGCCTGTTTTCAAGTTCAATGGCCTGCCTCATCGAATCATTGCGATGATACAGCCTTGATCCTACCTGTACCCAATACACAGGATCAGTACCAGGTGGTAGGTCCCAATTCTTCTCTGACTCCGTCAAAGCTTCTAATGCTTGTCGCAAGCCATCAGGTGCATCTGCCCAACGCTCTGCTGGCGGCATTGGAGGAGGCGCTTTGGCGATTGCTTTCGCTGTTCTTGCCTTTGCACCAGGATTCAGCACACTTGAAGCCCACGCTGTTGATGCAAAGGACACCTTTGGGGCAGCAAGTCCTGGAGGTGCTGCTGTTGAGCTTGTTGCACTCGACCTTCCACCGTCCGTACTCCTCTCCTTCTGTGCCTTCGCAACAGAAGGAGTTGACGACGATGTAACGACGGTCGGAGCCTTGGCAAACTCATATCCGTGTCCTGAAAATGCCGCACGTGTCATCCGGCGCTCTTGCTTGGGCTGCCTCAGTGGCTCTCATATCATGTGGAATGCGCAAGTGAGGTGGGAGTGTTTCTGTTCTTCTTGCCCACTCTCCAATTGGTCGCTCCCCCACATAGTAGCTCACCACCTCAGCATCTCGGGCAGGTTCACGAAGCTCGAAGAAGGTGTAGCCAGTCCAACGACCCTCAACCTTGTTGTCCTGTCTGTCCTCTTTTGTCGGAGGATCCACCCAGGAGTCTTCCGTTGGTCTGCCAGGCTGCTCACCATTGAGGTACTTGATGGTCACTCGACGGCCTGTTAAGACCTGTTCATCCCGGAGAGGGTAAGAACTGTCACTGTGTATAGGATGGCACCTTTGATACCGCAGCTTGCAGTGAATCCTCACCACAAAGTTCTCCACAACCATCCACCTGTCAGAAAAACCCACAGGAGGCTTGTCGAAAGGCGGATGCCACCAAGGTTCATGAGGCCGCGCGCGAGGTCTTTCGACCTTCATCATCTTAACCATGGCACGCGGTCGGCAGCTGCTCGAAGCAGCATCACGGGAGCCCTCAGGGCTATTGTGGAGAGGGTGGTTCCCCGCAGGAGGTTTATTCCGGGCCCTTCCTGATCTTTTCTTTTCTTCTTGCACTGTGGCCCTCACAGTGGATTCAGTGCCCTTTGGAGGCACTCCCCCCGGGGAGAGTTCATCTTCCTTCTCCCATCTTTTTCCAACCTTTCTCAACCAGGTTGTTCCCAAGATCATCAAACACGCTGCAGCGATGTCCAATGCTGCCGACAGTTTCACTGGGCGAACAAAGATCAACGCTGCCACTATCACAGCTAGTGCTGCTCTCAGGACGAGGCCGTCATCTTCATCTCGGCTCTCGTGGATCTGCAGTGTTTTCAGCAGTGTTTTCACCATCTTGGCCTTCATGGAGCCTATCCCTATCTGTTTGCAGAACGTCTCAAAGGCAGTGCCTTGGAGTGCCTTGGTCAGGCCATCTGCAGGGAGCTCCGAGCCTTTGACATGGTGCGCAGCCCAGCCACTTGAAGCACACGCGACTGCTGACCGCAACCCGCCAGCATGTAGGCGCAGATGTCTTGTTCTCCACGCCCCCACATCACCCATGCACAGGCTCAGGGCGCTGCGGTTGTCACCATAGATGCACCTCTGCACATCCGATCTCATGAAGCACTCAAGCAGAGACGCAACCCCCTCTGCTTGTTGGTGACATTCCATGTAGCTCAGCAACTTAGCTTCTGCAGTTGATCCAGTGACAAACGGTTGCCTTGAGGATGACCACAACACTGCATGCACATCCCACAACTGCGACAATCGTTCCTTGCACAGATTTGAACTGCTCACCCACTGGTGCGAACGATGCATCAGAGTATGCCTCCACATGCTTCAAACTCTTTGGGTACTTCAGTTCACCCATGTCACCGAAGGAAGCTTCACCATCACACTTTTCATAGATAGTCCCCAGTCAGCTGTCGCCTTCAGGTAACCAAGAAGTGCTCTGTCTTGCTTGAAGTGCCACCTCCGCTGGCTTGCGATGCATCTGACGGGTGAGCACACCCGTGAGTGATATCAGGCCTTGTTCGACCTGACAGCCATTGCAGTTCACCGACAAGTCCTTGTGCTTCTCGGAGGGTCGGGATGTCAAACTGTTCATCTTCTCCTTCTGAGATTGTCACACCACTCCACCACCCCTTTCTTTGAGCATAGGTCCAGGATGTACTCCTTCTGGTCAAGGTGGTATCCACTTTCTGTTCGCTCAACCTGAAACCCGCAAAACCACCTGGACCAGCAAGAACTTCACGCTTGGAGCACTTCCACAGCGTCTCAATGCATTGCAGTGCCGCATGGACTTCCTCTTCTGGGCCAACCGACACAATGTCATCGACATACGTTGCGACATAGCCACGGATGCTGTCCTCATTGATATTGTCCAGGATGTACCAGATGTTGCTTTCGGCCGACTGCTCTAAGTGACGTTCTCTGCCACTGCACAGCCACTTCGCATCCAGCATCTTGAGGTTTCTATGCTGTGACCAGTCTTCCGGAGACTCTCTGAGTCCATACAACGCTCCTTGAGTTTCCCAAAGACACTCTTCAGGCATGATCCCCAACTTCGTCACCACATGAGGCGGCTTGATGAGGGTCACTTTGTGTGCAGTTGATCTCTTTGGTGCCTGCAAGAAAGCTGATGTGATGTCTGTGGTTCCCAGTGCCCAATCTTGTTGAGCTGCAATCGTCACAAGCAGTCGAAGGCTTACCGAGTCCAAGCCCCCCGTCGAGACCGTCGCCGACTCATCTCAATTGCCAAAGTTGCCGCAGCCCACGATGTGAGCCTTCCTTCGACCACACGGAGCTTTTCTTGAGCAGAGCAACTTGCCCGGGATTATCTCAGCACCAATTGGCTGCATCCACAGTTCCTTCTCGGCCAAGACCTGCTTGTTACCCACCAGGTAGGTTTGCAGCACTTCAGTTTCCTGCACAGTGGCCTCTTCGGTTTCAGCCCCTAATGCCGTGAGCAACGCCTTCGTTTCATTCATGTTGTTTTGTGCTTGCCTTTGCAACCACCGAACATCCCGACGAAGGTCCTCAAGCCAGCTGAAGTTTGGACCGGCGCCACCTGCTACTCCCAAGGCCAGTTCATCCACCAAGACTTGTTGAGCTCCACTCAACACCTTCTGAAGCCAGTCCGACTTCTTTGACAATGCTCTGATGGCCACAGCGAAGTCATGTCGCACCTCATGCGCAGGATTTACCTTCTGACAGAAGCCACATACTTGCTCATCACGCGGTTGCTGAAGTCCACAGCTTTGGCACTTTTTCATGTTTGCCTTCTCCTCCGCAACAAGTCGCTTGACTGCAGCTTGAGCTTGACCAGTCCACTCCCCCCAGTTGCTCCAACTGGTCGGTACAGCCGATGTGGTGGTTGCGTGCCAGTCACGCGAAATCGATGTTCTTCAACATCCTCATCGGTGATCTCAACCAAGGCATGTTCAGCGAGCTGATCCTCAAAATCTTCAGCAGCTTCTGCATGTTGGCCTTCATCATCCTGGGCTTCTGCGTCTGATGGAGGTTGAGGGATGTCATCAAACACTTCCCAAAACTCAGCAGCTGCCTTCAGTTGCTCCAGGACGCTTTTTTCACCTCCCCCTTCCGCAAGGTCTTGGATTTGCTTTGCAGCCAGGCTGTTGGACTTCTTGAACTCCCCCGTTGATGGTTGCTGAACAACGAGGCCGTACCGCCACCGTTGTCCTGAACCCATGTCCATCAACTGTTCGAATCCAG